TTCCAGGAGGTATGAATGTTAGAATGGATTCATTAAGTGTGACTGAACAACCGTCTGACGACATTCCTCAGGAAGACATTGCCTTCACTAACGGAATATAAGATGCACTGGTTTGCAAACTGTTCATCCACCAAGAGACTAATATCCAGAATACACAGGGAACTCAACAGAAAAAAAAAAAATCCCATTAAAAAGTGGGAAAAGGATCTGAAAAGACATTTCTCAAAGGAAGACATACAAATAGCCAAGTGGAAAAATGTTCAACATCACTAATTTATCAGGGAAATGCAAATCAAAACCACAATGAGATATCCTCTTACCCCAAGTTAGAATGACTGTTATCAAAAAATAAATGCTGGTGAGAATGCAGAGAAAAGGGAATTTTTTTGTTTTCTTTTTGTATTTTTCTGGAGAAAAGGGAATTCTTATATACAGTTGGTGGGAATGCAAATTAGTACAGCCATTATGGGAGAAAAGTATAGAAATTTCTCAAAAAACTAAAAATACAACCACCTTAGGATTCAGCAATCCACCTACTAGTATTTATACAAAGGAAAGAAAGTCAGTATATCCAAGCAATACCTGTACTCCCATGTGTGTTGCAGCACTATTCACATAGCAGATGGGACCAACATTAAGTGTCCATCGACAGATGGATGGATAAAGAAAACATATAAACACAGTGGAATATTCAGCCATAAAAAAGAATGAAATCATGTCATTTGCAGCATCATGGATGGGACTGGAGGCCATTAGACTAAGTGAAATCAGGCATAGAAGGACAAAGCTAAAAAGTTGATCTCATGGTGGTAGAGAGTAGAATAGTGCTTAGTAAGCTGAGAACGGTGTCGGGTGGAGGACGAAGACAGGTTGGTGTCTGGGCACGGTGGCTCACGCCTGTAATCCCACCACTTTGGGAGGCCGAGGCAGGTGGATCACCTGAGGTCAGAAGTCCAAGACCAGCCTGGCCAACATGGTGAAACCTCGTCTCTACTAAAAATACAAAAATTAGCTGGGCGTGGTGGTGGGCACCTGTAATCCCAGCTACTCAGGAGGCTGAGACAGGAGAACCACTTGAACCCAGGAGGCGGAGGTTGCAGTGAGCCAAGATCACGCCATTGCACTGCAGCCTGGGCAACAAGACTGAAACTCCATCTCAAAAAAACAAACAAAACAAAACAAAAAAACACCACAGATTGGTTAATGGGTATAAACATACAGTTAGAAGAAATCGGTTATACTGTTTGATAGCACAGCAGGTGACTATAGTTAACAATAACTTACTGTATATTTCAAAATAGCTGGAAAAGTTGTGTTCCTAATGCCAAAAAATGATAAATGCTTGAGGTTATGTGGTATCTTAAATACTCTGATTTGATAATCATACCTTTTATACATGTATCAAAAATTACATGTACCCCACAAATATGTACAATTGTGTATCAATAGAAAAAAGAAATTTTTTTAAAGGAATGCACTGGTTAGGGTTGTAGCAGCACCTAAGAAAAGCTCAGTGGTGGCTGCCCACTACAGGCAGGGGTTGGTGGTAGGAAATGCTGCCATGGAATTGAGCATGATATCATTAGTGGGGATGATGAGACTAGAACGGTAGAGATCATGTATTATTACTTAAATGTCAGAGACAAGGTGGACACAGTATAATAGACAGTAAGGCTGGGGTGGAAATCAGTCAGGCTCCCTTGATCTGCAGGGCTTTGTGACAATGATTAATAAATCATGGTGTTTTGGGAGACAGCTGACTAGTGTGTTACTTGACTTGTATGACCAAAAAAAAAAAAAAAAGGAAAAACAAGGAAAACTGGTGAGCATAAAGCTAAGGTAGCCTGTCACAATGGGAAAATCACGGTCTCTTCATCAGCTTCCAGATCTAAGTCAATTTACAGACCTAGTGCATGATGAAAAGGAGGACGGGTCTTGAGGAGAGGCCTTGCTTTCACATGCATATATGATGTACATACCCAGAACTTTTCAGAACTGGATGCCATTATGGATTTGTATGTAGATGGGGAGTTCTGGCCAAAGTCTATCACATAATAGGTCCCACCTTGGAATTATTTTCCCAATTGCTAAGAATATATTTGGGATCAATATACTTCGACGCCTGTGGAGGTCTTAGACCTGTGAAGTAACAGCCATTATAGGAGGAAGAGCCACATGGAAACCTCTCCCTGGCCATGTTAATAAATCATGAGTAATCCACATGTGGAATGGCAGCCATCAGTGTCACCATCAAAAAATTTTAGGGATGCAAGGGTAATGGGCTCCATTATAATCTTGTTTAAGTTACCATCAGACTCCTGAAGAAGAGCAGATGGATAATGGAGAATGATGGTGGACTACTGCTAGTCTCACTTGGAGCTGCCATGTTGGATGCGGTATCTTTATTGGAAGCCCCTGGTATTTGATATGCAACTGTTGATTTGGCAACTTCATTCTTCTCAATTTCCATCAGAAAGGAGGACCAAAAGCAGTTCACATTCTTCTGGGATGGACAGCAATTCTCACTTATTCTATTGCCCCAAAACAATCTTAAATCTCCTTCTCTATATCACAGTATAATCCAAAAGGACCTTGATCATTTCGACAATCTATAGGACATCATGCTGTCCTACTATACTGTGACAGCATGCTAGGTGGATTGGCTATCAGGAAGTGGCAAGTATTACAAATGCCCTAGTAAGACTTACATGTGCCAGAGTGTGAATGATAGACTCCGTGAAGAATCAAGGGCATGCCACATTAATGAAGAGTTTAGAAGACCAAATAGTGGGGACATGCTTAGATGTTTCTTCTATAGTAAGGAACAATTTCTTGCACCGTCCACCTCTTAATGCTAAGATGGAGGCATAGGATTTAGTAGGTCCCTCTGGACTTTGGACTGTTGTATTTGGTGTATTTCTCCAAACCATTTATCAGGGCTGCCAGTTTCAAGTGGATCCCATAAAAGAAAGATTACAGTAATTTTAGGCTTTTGAGCAAGTTGCTACTCAGGCCGTGTATGCGGCAGTTAAAAATATCATGTGGGGGCCAGGCGTGGTGGCTCACACCTGTAATCCCAGCACTTTGGGAGTCCAAGGCGGGCAGGTCATGAGGTCAAGAGATTGAGACCATCCTGGCCAACATGGTGAAACCCCATCCTACTAAAAATACAAAAACTAGCTGGGCATGGTGGTGTATGCCTGTAGTTCCAGCTACTCGGGAGGCTGAGGCAGGAGAATTGCTTGAACCCAGGAGGCAGAAGTTGCAGTGAGCCGCGATCATACCATTGCACTCTAGCCTGGCAACAGAGTGAGACTCTGTCTCAATAAATCAATCAATCAATAAAATAAAAATATTGTGTGGAGCCTCTGGCAAGTCCCAATAGGAGGTAACAGCACAGCTCTGTAGGATCCTGGAGTAACGCCATGCTTCTTGCAACAGAAAACCATTCAGATGCCTGATGTGTACTGGGCCCCAGTGGAGGCTGAGAATCTGATTACGAGATACTGAGGACTAAGCAAACAGAGCTGTTAATGGATGAGCTAGGCATTACCAGATCCATGGAGTCATGAATTCGGATGGGCCCAGGAGTGATTTATCCTTATTGGAATTGACATCTCAGGGTATGGGTTTGCCTTTTCTGCCTGCAATGTGTCTTTCTATACAAGCACACTAAGACATAGAGAATACCTGATTCACTGTCACGATATCTCAAGCATTGCCTCAAGGACGACTTTTTTGATAAAGGAGGTGGTGCAATGAGCACATGACCACAAGATCCCCTCATCTTACCATATACCTCAACACCAGAAGCAGCCAGCATAAGCAGAACAATAGAATAGCTCAGCTAAGACACTAGAGATGAGACAGCAGCCTGCAGGGTTGGGGTGCTGTCCTCCAGGATTTGGTAATGTGCTTTAATAAGGACTGATATATGTCCCTATCATTAAAACACACAGGTCTGGAAACCACGAAGTGGAAGTAGATTGACTTCTGTCACCATCGCAATCAGTGGCTCACTTGATTAATGGCTATTATTTTTTTCTACAGTCTAGGCTAAAACTTTTGGTTCCCAGGGGATCAGAAATGCTTTTATCAGGGGACTTGATAAGGGTTCCAGTGAACTGGAATCTACAAGTGTCACATGGTCACTTTGGGCTCCCCATGCCAGTGGACAACCAGGCGAAAAAAGGAGGCATCATACTGGTGGTGTACCTCCTCCCTCCTGCTCCAAGACTTCTCCGACACAAAGGCAAGGGAAGCACTTGGCACTCACACAGCCCAATCCGGACCTGCAGGGTAGATGACACTCAGGGCTACCCTTGATCAGTAGTGAGCAAGCGCTTATGGTCAAATGCTTTCCCCTTTCATACCCAGGGCAGACACCTGAGATGTGTTTCATCAGGCTTCATTGAGGATCCTGCAAAACTGAGCACCGGAAACTGTAGCACTGTCCAACTTGCTAATGTGTCTGCATATTAGCTTTCCATGTTTCCCCAGTCCTTCACTCCTGTGCTCTGGGATCACTTCCCAAATAAGCTACTCTACATGGAAGCCTTTGTCTTAGGCTCTGTTTTGCGGGGAACTGAGTCTGAAACCCCCAACTACCTGGAATGCTCTGGTATTTTGCAAGAGTCACTCCTGCTTTTCATTCAGATCTCAAACTGATATGTACTCAAAGTGGCCTTCCTTAATGACTAATCCAAAGTAGCAAGCCTCTAATATCAGATCACCCTTTTTGAATTATATACATAGCATTTATCACTGATCTTTTTCTTTTTTAAAAAATGTAGTTGTTAGTACCTTTGTCCTGGACTAGAATGTCCTGCATATGAGAGGAGGGACCTTGCCTATTTCAGGCCTTGCTGTTTCCCTAGCACCTTAAACAGTGCCTGGCACACAGAAGGCACTGGATAAATATTTCTTGATTAAATGAATGAATGCTGAAATTTGATAATAAAACAAGATCCCAAATCAAGCCAGAATCTGAGCTAATAGACTTTTTGGAGGAAAAAAAAATGCATATCTCAAATTTAAATTTATTTAAAAGTTACAAAAATGTCTCCACTCAAGTTGTCCTTGAAAAAAATTTAAAAGCAGCAACAATGGTCTCGGTTAATTACCAGTAGTCTGGTGTAATTTATAAAATCGAGCAAAATTTGGATGTATGTCTTATCCCTCTGTAGACACGGGACCCTTTTTTGAGGTCTCTTTCTTTAGGGTCTGGTAGCATCATGACAGGGACACTTTCCAAAGCCTTCTTCCTTTGGACTCTATGCAAAATGATTCTGTAGACCCCTGTGATTGAGCTGCGAGCGTCTCTCCCTTGGTTATTTCGAATGTGCTCTTCTGTAATGCCCAAATGTTCTAAAGTGCTTTTGACCTCATTTTCTTCTTCCTTGAGAGTGCTGGTTTCCGACAAATGTTTGGGATCCAGTTGGAAAGGTTCCAAAGGTGTAGGGTATGGCACCCCTTGCATCCATTCATCATTCATTATGCAGTCAATCCCGTACCTCTCCGTGGGGATCTGCTGAAGGACTCCTCGGATGAGTCGGTGGCAGGGCTCTGACACGTGCGGCGGTACACCGTATGCGCCTTCCAGGATGCTCTTTTTTAGTTTGGCCACAGTTTCTGCCCGAAATGGCATGGTGCCAGTCACCATGAAGTACAAAAGCACCCCCAAGGCCCAGATATCCACGTAAACGCCAATGTAGTGCTCGTCCCGGAAGAGTTCAGGCGCAGCGTAGGGAGGAGACCCACAGAAAGTGTTGAGCATTTCACCTTTTTTACTTACTGTGCTGAATCCAAAATCGCCCACCTTCACACAAGTATTACTGGTATAGAATACATTTTCTGCCTTCAGATCTCTATGAATAATTTGGTTTTCATGCTGTGGAAGAAGACAGAGAAAAGTCATTTTTACAGTAAATTGCCAAATTAAAAATGTATCAGTTGCTCTGAAACAGTGAGATAATGATGGTAGAACATCAGAAATTCAGTGAGGATCAACTGAAGTCATGATGGTAAACCCTGCCATAACCTTCAGCCCAATGTAATGCCCGCACCTCGCCAAATAGGCCAAAGTTCCTATTCTATGTGGTAAGGGTTGGAATCTGTTCCACACATGTGGACTCAGAAATTAACACCAGAAATGAGACCCAGATCTTGTGAAACTACACATTCTGAAATAAGATGAAGCAGTAATCCTTAGTTGTTGAGGTAATATATGGGTTTTTCTGGCTGATGGATGGTTTGATTGGGGTCAAGACTGGGAAGGCCTGGAGCCCTCCCCTGACTTTCCAGCTATGCTTTTTGGGGTGGACTCCTTTATCTTTATAGAATTCAGCAGAGGGGAGGCGGTTGCATTTGGCAAAGATCTAGCCACAGATCACACTGTGGATTGTGCGCAGATGCTCCATCCTTGCATTCTGAATCCATACAATCTTCAGAGGACCCTTCACCTGTTCAGTCCCAAGGGCTCTTGGAAAATGGCTTTGTGTTTGTCATCTTTCCTGACGGCCCTCCTAGGTAAGAATCCAGGCTTTGGACCGGACAGTCTGGTCAATTCTAGGTTCAACTATACCAGTTGGGTCCTGTGTCAGTTTCCTTCTTAGTAAAATAAGGCTATGGTGAGAACTATACAAGATGCCAACTATATATGATGAGATCAGTGCTCAGCACTGTCTTGGCATATAAACAAACTCAATAAGATGTGGGTCTATGGCTATGAAACACACTTCCTGCCTGCAGAAACCAGAGAGTTGGAGAAATGGCAGGGCATAGAGCTGCTGAAGACTAATGTCTGTCCCTCTATTGCTAGATTCTCTTCTGTTCTCCCACCAGCTTATTTTCCAAGTAGAATGTGGACGACTCTTCGCCCATCTGCTTTATTACTTAGTATGGGTCTGGCTTATTCTCTGGCCCTGGGAAAGCTCACCACAGCCCAGAGCCACTTAAATGATGACTGGTCATAAACCACAGGTCTGAAACACCCACTACCACTACAGTCAAGTTCTTCTCTCTGGCTCACTTCCTTTTCTTCTTTCTCTCCTTCCCTACTCCTGTGTTGAGTCCTCTGGTCACAAATTCCGTAGCAAATTCTTTGACTCCCTTATCTCCCTCTTTTGCCATATTCCCATCATGGGCTATTTTCTTTGACTTTTTCAGTGTCTGGCATGTAATGGGATTTACTGTGGCTCACCGATCCCAACTCTTGCTCCCACAACCATGAAAGCTGAGAAGTGAATTAGAAACAGCCTCTCAACTAACAGACAAGTGTCTTTTTTCTGACAGACTCATTCAACTAAGTTTTTTTTCTGACAGACCCTGGGATCCGAGTAAGAAGAGTGGTTGACCAAAAGTTTTGGTGGTCAGGTCTGCAAGTCAAGTTCCTCCTGTGTGCCCAAGAATATGGCCCAAAATAGGGAGGCAGCAAAACAGCCAGTGCTTGGGGGAACTATGGAGTGTGATTTAGGAGTCCAGATTTATCTGAAGAAATAAACAAAGAACTAAAATAAGAATGAGACAACTGGCTGGGTGCAGTGGCTCACACCTGTAATTGCAGCATTTCAGGAGGCTGAGGCGGGTGGATCACCTGAGATCAGGAGTTCAAGACCAGCCTGGCCAACATGGTGAAACCCCATCTCCATTAAAAATATGAAATTAGCCAGGTGTGGTGGTGCATGCCTTTAATCCCAGCTACTTGGGAGGCTGAGGCAGGAGAATCACTTGAACCAGGGAGGTAGATGTTGCAGTGAGCCAATATCACACCACTGCACTCCATCCTGGATGACAGAGCAAGATTCTGTCTCAAGAAAAAAAAAAAAGAAAAAGACAGAAAGAAAGAATGGCATGACCAAGTGTTAATCTACTGGGCACAGAGGTAGTAAGAGCTAGGGGGTCTTATTGAAGGCAAAAGATCAGTGTAACTGATTTCTCCCTGTCTCTCCCTCCCTCCCTCCCTCCCTCCCTCCTTCCCCTCTCTCTTTCTTCCTCTCTCTCACACACATACAAACACACACACATACACAGAGAAAGAAAGAGAGAGAGAGAGAGAACCGAGCTGGACATGAAGTATGGATAGGATTTAGAATGTGAGTGAGATGTCATACGAGGGCATCCTAGACAAAAGTAGGAAAGCAAAGCCAAGAAGCAGTGAGGAGCCAGCTATCCAGATAGTGGAAGATGAGGTTGGAGAAATGGATATGCCAGGGAGTGGGTGATGTTCATCAGCTGCTCCCAGTGATTCCCGCCAATGTCTGCAGAAGCTAGAAGCTAGGAGGTTGCCATGTAACTGGACATCCCTGGATGTTGCTTCACAGGCAAGGAGTATCCCAGCCAGACTTCTGGCTCTCCAGAGGGACTACTATCTGCTTTGCGGGACAAAAGCCCTCTGGGACACCTAGTGGTTGGTAACCGAAAGCCCTGTGCTCCCAGTGTGGGTGGAATGGGAGCAAGGTTCTTACTTGTTACCCCTGCTCACCATGTGCTTCACGGCAGACACAATCTGGGAGAAGATGAGCTTGCTTTCTGGTTCAGAGAGCTTCCCCTCAGTGCTAATTTTCCCGAAGAGCTCCCCACCCCCTGCATACTCCATCACCAAGTGCAGCTTGGATAGGGTCTCCACGACTTCGTAAAGGCGGATGATGTTGGGATGGTGCAGCTTTTCCATACTGGAGATTTCACGGGATAGCAGCCTCTGGGTTTTCTGGTCTAACTTAGTCTTGTCCAGGATCTTAATGGCCACCTTTTCTGGAAGGAAAAAAAGTCAAAGGATATGCCAGAATTCACAGGAGAATAGATAGAGCTGGAGAGGACCTGGATCTGCTCCTTTCCTTTACTAGACACAGAGGTCAAGTGGCTGTTCCCAAGCCCACAGAGCTCATCAGGGAACAACAAAGCAATGCTTGAGCTCAGCATCAGTGCCCTTCCCTTGGATCAGTGCAAGTCGTCTACACACAGGTTTTGATGCCACATCCTGCCTCCCCAAAAAAGTATCCAGATAAAGTTAGAGGTCCTTTGCTAAGCCTAGAGAGTATCTCTTGATGAGACCCTGCCCATCTCATCAGCCTCACTGTCCATCATTCCTGTCCACCACCCTTAAAGCCCCATGCACCCTTTAATCCAACCATTACAGAACTTTTTGTTGTTCCCTGAAAAGGTGCTGAACATTCATGCCTGAAAGCTTTCCTGTACCTGGATCATTCTCTCCATCACTCCTTCCCCATTCTTTACTCTTGTTCTTTACTCATCGATATAGTTTGTATATTTGTCCCCACCCAAATCTCATTAAAATGTAATCCCCAATGTTGGAGGAGGAGTCTGGTGGGAGGTGTTTGGATCATGGGGGCTGATGTCTCATGAAGGCTTGGGCCATCTCCTTAGTAATAAGTGAGCTCTCGTTCTGAGTTCACATGAGATCTGGTCCTTTGAAAGTGACCAGATCTTGTGGCATCCTCCCCCAACTCTTGCTCCTGCTTTCAAAGTACATGTGCCTTCCACCTTCCACCTTCCACCATGATTGGAACTTTCTGTGGCGTCTGAAGAAGTAGATGCCACCATGCTTCCTGTACAACCTGCAGAACCATGAGCTAACAAAACCTTGTTTTCTTACAAATTACTCAATTTCAGCCAGGCACAGTGGCTCATGCCTGTAATCCCAGAACTTCGGGAGGCTGAGGCGAGTGGATCACAAGGTCAGGAGTTCAAGACCAGCCTGGCCAACATGATGAAACTCAATCTCTGCTAAAAATACAAAAATTAGCCAGGTGCCATCATGGGTGCCTGTAATCCCAGCTACTTGGGAGGCTGAGGCAGGAAAATTGCTTGAACCCAGAGAAGGCGGAGGTTGCTATGAGCCTAGGTAGTGCCACTGCACTCCAGCCTGAATAACAAAGCAAGGCTCCATCTTGGAAAAAAAAATTACACAATTTCAGACATTTCTTTATAATTGCAAGAATGGTTTAATATACTTGTCATTAACCCCTGATGATCTTTCAAGGTGAGCCTCAGAATGAGCCTCTTCAGGAAATCTCTGTAATACTTGTAGAAAACTACAGATCAATATTCCTGATGAACTAGATGCAAAAGTCAACAAAATACTAGCAAACAGAATCCAATAGCAAATCAAAAAGATAATACATTATGTCAAATGGGTTTTGTCCCAGAGATACAGTGATGGTTTAACAAATGCAAGTCAATAAATATGATAAATCACATAAGCAGAATTAAAAACAAAACCATACGATTATCTTAATAGATGTAGAAAGAGCATTCAGTAAAACCCAGCATGACAAAAACAATGTCATGACAAAATCCAGCATTGTCTTACAACAAAAACATTGACAACCAACTAGGCATAGAAGGAACATACCTCAAAACAATAAAAGCCATATATCACAAACCCAAAGCCAACATCATACAGAATGAGGTAAAGTTGAAAGCATTCCCCCTGAGAACTGGAACAAGACAAGAATGCCCACTTTCATCACTTCTATTCAACATAGTACTGGAAGTCCTAACCAGAGCAATCAGGCAAGAGGAAGACATAAATGGCATCTAAATTGGAAAAGGGGAAGTCAAACTATCACTGTTTGATGATGATATGATCATATACAGAAAACTCTAAAGATTCCTTCAAAAGACTCCTACATTTTATTCTTTCTTTTTAACTAACAACTCACTGATCTTCAACAAAGCATACAAAAACATAAATTGGGGAAATCACATCCTATTTAATAAATGTTGCTGAGAAAACTGAATAGCCACATGTGGGAGAAAAAAACTGGATCCCTATCTTTTACCTTACACAAAAATCAACTCAATATGGATTGAAGATTTAAATCTAAGACCTGAAACCACAAAAAATCTAGAAGAAAATACAGGAAAAACTCTTCTGGACATTGACTTAGGTAAAGAATTTATGACTAAGACCCCCAAAACAAATGCAACACAAACAAAAGTAAATAAATGGGACCTCATTAAACTGAAAGGCTTGTGTACAGCAGAAAAAATAATCATCAGGGCAAACAGACAACCCACAGAATGGGAGAAATATTTGCAAACCATGCATCTAACAAAGAACTAATTACAAGGAACTCAAACAAATTAGAAACAAAGGTCTTTATGAAAAAGTAGGTAAATGATATGAAGACGTATTTCTCAAAAGAAGACACACGAATGGCCAACAAACACGTGTAAAAATGCTCAACATCACTAATCATCACAAAAATGCAATTAAAACCACAGTGAGATACCACCTCACCCCAGCCAGAATAGTCATTTTGAAAAAGCCAAAAAACAGCAGATAGCATGAATGTGGTGAAAAGGGAACATTTATACACTGCTGGTGGGAATGTAAATTAGTACAACCTGTACAGAAAACAGAATGGAGATTTCTAAATCTAAAATATAAAAGTAAATCTAAATCTAAATCTGCCAGCAATCACACTACTGGGTATCTCCATTTGATCCAGCAATCGCACTACTCGGTATCTCCCCAAAGGAAAATAAGTAATTATATCAAAAAACACCTTCATACATATGTTTATTGCAGCACAATTCACAATTGCAAAGATATGGACCCAACCTAAGTGCCAACCAACCAATGAGCAGATAAAGAAAATGTGGTATATACACCATAGAAGACTACTCAGCCATGAAAAGAATGAAATAATGTGTTTTGCAGCAATTTGGATAAAGCTTGAGGCCATTATTCTAAGTGAAGTAACTCAGGAAAGGAAAATCAAATACTGTTTGTTCTTACTTATAAATAAGAGTTAAGCTATGGGTATGAAAAGGCATGGACTTTGGAGACGTAGAAGGGGTAGGGTGGGAGGGGGTGAGGGATTACTACGGATTGGGCTTTCCGAGTCTCTGGCCCGCGGGCTTCAGGTGTGAGCTGCGCCCTCCGCTCTGAGGGTTTGTGGCCCACTGCTCCTTCGCTGTCCCTGCAGCCATCGCTCACGCTCCGCGTTGCAAAGATGGTGGGTCGGAACAGTGCCATCGCCGCCGGTGTATGTGGGACCCTTTTTATCGGGTACTGCATCTACTTCGACGCAAAAGACGAAGTGACCCCAACTTTAAGAACAGGCTTCGAGAACAAAGAAAGAAACAGAAGCTTGCCAAGGAGGCAGCTGGGCTTTCCAGGTTACCTGACCTTAAAGATGCTGAAGCTGTTCAGAAATTCTTCCTTGAAGAAATACAACTTGGTGAAGAATTACTAGCTCAAGATGAATATGAGAAGGAAGTACACCATCCGACGAATGCAACTGCTGTGTGTGGACAGCCACAGCAGTTACTTACAGCAAACTCTTCCACCACCAGTGTTCCAGATGCTTCTGACTAAGCTCCCAACGATTAGTCAGAGAATTGTAAGTGCTCAGCGCTTGGCTGATGACGTGGAATGAGAAATAAATATCAACATAATAAAATCTTAGTTAAATATTTTAAAAATTCGTGGTAGTTGAACAGCTCTAGGGGAATAAGGGCAAATATGCTTGTTATGAACTACACTGAAATCTACCAAAGTTAATGTTTACTTTGTGTAGATCCATGTCTATTTTATTTATTTTTCCCAGTGAAGAGTGTATTTTGATAGAGAGCATTTCATTTTATAAATACACTATTAGTTACTGAAAAATCATGGATTTTGTTTATTCCTGAAACATAAACTGTACATATGAAATGGCTTATGTTAAAAATACCCAGTGCTCAGTTTTGAAGGATAGGCCAAAACCAAAAAAAGTACAGGAGAAACTGAAGAATGAAGAATGCATACTTTTTAAATTTTAGCTCCTACATTTTGCTGTAAATCTGGAAATTTGATAGACTTGATTATGTTTGTGAAAACTGAGCATTAAAGTTTTTGAATGACAAAAAAAAAAAAAAAAGCTAAATATTGGGTACGACGTGCACTACTCAGGTGATTGGTGCACTAAAATCTCAGACTTCACCAGTATACAGTTCATCCTTGTAACCAAAAACTACTTGTACCCCAAAAGTCATTTAAAAAAAAACGTATAAGTAAAAATGTCCCCAGTAAAGATACATACAGGCCAGGCTCAGGGGCTCACACCTGTAATACCAACACTTTGGGAGGCCGAGGCAAGAGGATTGCTTGAGCCCAGGAGCTTGAGAACAGTCTGGGCAACATAGCAGGGCCCCATATCTACAAAACATTAAAAAAATTAGCCAGGCATGATGTCATGCCCCTGTGGTTCCAGCTACTCCAGAGGCTGAGGTGGGAGGATCGCTTGAATACAGAAAGTCAAGGTTGTAATGAGCTGTGATTGTGCCACTGCACTCCAGCCTGGGTGGCAAAGCAATACCCTGCCTCAAAAAAAAAAAAAAGTTTACCAAAAGACTCTTACTAGAATGTTCACAGCAATATTATTCATAATAGCCCCAAACTGGAAACTAGTCACATCATCAATAGTTGAATGGATAAATTGTGGTACATTCATACAATGAATTACTACATATGTGCCAATGAGCATGAAACATCTAAACTACATAAAATAGTATGGATGGTATTCACAGACTTAATATTGGACAACTGAAGTAAGACAAAAGAATACATACTGGATGATTCCATTTTTGTAAAGTTTAAAACAGTCAAAAGCAATCTACAGTATTAGAAGCACGGATACAGTTTACACTTGAGGATGTAGTGAATAGAATGAAGGATGAGCGAGTGGAGGGGAGCGCTCTGAGTACCAGAAATGTTCTCTGTCTTGATGTTGGTGGTGCTT